AAAACCTTCTATGGTCATACACTTAATAGAAATGGTTATTGAATCTCAATCGTAGTGATACACATATTCATAATATTGAAGCCAAAAGATGCAAAGTTAATAATGATAGTGCAACTTATTTGTGGCACTGCCGTTTAGGTCATATTGGTGTAAAGCGCATGAAGAAACTCCATGCTGATGGGTTTTTGGAATCACTTGATGCTTGCGAACCATGCCTCATGGGCAAGATGACTAAGACTCCGTTCTCCGGAACAATGGAGCGAGCAACTGACTTATTGGAAATAATACATACTGATGTATGCGGTCCGATGAGTGTTGAGGCCCGCGGCGGGTATCGTTATTTTCTGACCTTCACAGATGATTTGAGCAGATATGGGTATATCTACTTGATGAAATATAAGTCTGAAACATTTGAAAAGTTCAAAGAATTTTAGAGTGAAGTGGAAAATCATCGTGACAAGAAAATAAAGTTTCTACGATCTGATCGCGGAGACGAATATTTGAGTTACGAGTTTGGTCTTCAATTAAAACAATGTGGAATAGTTTCACAAATTCGTGCCACCTGGAACACCACAGCATAATGGTGTGTCCGAACGTCATAACCGTACTTTATTGGATATAGTGCAATTTATGATGTTTCTTACCGATTTACCACTATCGTTTTGGGGTTATGCATTAGTGACAGCTGCATTCACGTTAAATAGGGCACCATCTAAATCCGTTGAGACGACACCATGTGAACTGTGGTTTAGCAAGAAACCTAAGCTGTCGTTTCTTAAAGTTTGTGGTTGCGATGCTTATGTGAAAAAGTTTCAGCCATGATAAGCTCAAACCCAAATCGGAGAAATGCGTCTTCATAGGATCCCCAAAAGAAACTGCTGGGTATACCTTGGCAAGATATTTTGTTGCTAAGAATGGATCCTTTCTCGAGAAGGAGTTTCTCTCGAAAGAAGTGAGTGGGAGGAAAGTAGAACTTGATGAGGTAATGGTACCTTCTCCCGAATTGGAAAGTAGTTCATCACATAAATCAGTTCTAGTGATTCCTACACCAATTAGTGAGGAAGCTAATGATGATGATCATGAAACTTCAGATCAAGTTACTACCGAGCCTCGTAGGTCAAACAGAGTACAGTCCGCCCCAGAGTGGTACGGTAATCCTGTTCTGGAAGTCATGTTACTAGACCATGACAAACCTACAAACTATGAGGAAGCGATGATGAGCCCAGATTCCCCAAAATGGCTTGAGGCCATGAAATCTGAGATGAGATCCGTGTACGAGAACAAAGTATGCACTTTGATTGACTTGCCCGATGATCGGTGAGTCATTGAGAATAAATGGATCTTCAAGAGGTAGATGGACGCTGATAGTAGTGTTACTACCTACAAAACTCGAATTGTCGCAAAATATTTTCGACAAGTTTAAGGTGTGGACTACGATGAGATTTTCTCACTCGTATCGATGCTTAAAAGTCTGTCTGAATCATGTTAGCAGTTGCCGCATTTTATGAAATCTGGCAAATGGATGTCAAAACTGCATTCCTTAATGGATTTCTTAAAGAAGAGTTGTATATGATGCAACCAGAAGTTTTTGTCGATCCTAAAGGTGCTAACAAGGTAAGCAAGCTCCAGCGATCCATCTATGGACTGGTGCAAGCATCTTGGAGTTGGAATATATGCTTTGATAAAGTGATCAAAGCATATGGTTTTATACAGACTTGCGGTGAAGCCTATATTTACAAGAAAATGAGTGGGAGCACTATGACATTTCTGATAAGTATATGTGAATAACATATTGTTGATCAGAAATAATGAAGAATTTTCTAGAAAGCATAAATGAATGTTTGAAAGGAGTTTTTCAAATAAAGACCCCGGTGAAGCTACTTACATATTGAGCATAAAGATCTATAGAGATAGATCAAGACGCTTGATATATTTTCAATGAGTACATACCTTGACAAGATTTTGAAGTAGTTCAAAATGGAACAGACAAAGAAGGAGTTCTTGCCTGTGTTGCAAGGTGTGAAGTTGAGTAAAGACTCAAAACCCGACCACAGCAGGAAATAGAAACAGAATGGAAAGTCATTCCCTATGCCTCAGTAATAGGTTCTATAAAGTATGCTATGATGTTTACCAGTCCTATCGTATACCTTAGCATGATTCTGGCAAGGGAGTACAATAGTGATCTAGGAGTAGATCACTGTACAGCGGTCAAAATTATCCATAGAGGACTAAGGAAATATTTCACGGTTATGAAGGTGATAAAAGAGTTCGTCGTAAAGAGTTACGTCGATGCAAGCTTTTACATCGATCTAGATGACTCTAAGTCTCGATCTGGATACATATTGAAAGTGGGAGCAATTAGCTAGAGTAGCTCCGTGCAGAGTATTGTAGACATAGAAATTTGCGAAATACATACGGATCTGAATGTTGCAGACCCGTAGACTAAACTTCTCTCACAAGCAAATCATGATCACTCTTTGGGTATTAATCACATAGCGATATGAACTAGATTATTGACTCTAGTAAACCCTTTGGGTATTAGTCACATGAAGATGTGAACTAATCACATAAAGATGTGAACTATTGGTGTGAAATCACATGACGATGTGAACTAGATTATTGACTCTAGTGTAAGTGGGAGACTGAAGGAAATATGCCCTAGAGGCAATAATAAAGTTGTTATTTATATTTCCTTATATCATGATAAATGTTTATTATTCATGCTAGAATTGTATTAACCGGAAACTTAGTACATGTGTGAATACATAGACAAACAGAGTGTCACTAGTTTGCCTCTACTTGACTAGCTCGTTGAATCAATGATGGTTATGTTTTCTAGCCATAGACATGAGTTTTCATTTGATTAACAGGATCACATCATTAGAGAATGATGTGATTGACTTGATCCATCCGTTAGCTTAGCATGATGATCGTTTAGTTTGTTGCTATTGCTTTCTCCATAACTTATAATGTTCCTATGATTATGAGATCATGCAACTCCTGAATACCGGAGGAACACTTTGTGTGCTACCAAACGTCACAACGTAACTGAGTGATTATAAAGGTGCTCTACAGGTGTCTCCAATGGTGTTTGTTGAGTTGGCATGGATCAAGATTAGGATTTGTCACTCCGATTGTCGGAGAGGTATCTCTGGGCCCTCTCGGTAATGTACATCACAATAAGCCTTGCAAGCAATGTAGCTAATGAGTTAGTTGCGGGATGTAGCATTATGGAACGAGTAAAGAGACTTGCCGGTAACGAGATTGAACTAGGTATTGAGATACCGACGATCGAATCTCGGGCAAGTAACATACCGATGACAAAGGGAACAACGTATGTTGTTATGCGGTTTGACCGATAAAGATCTTCGTAGAATATGTAGGAACCAATATGAGCATCCAGGTTCCGCTATTGGTTATTGACCGGAGATGAGTCTCGTTCATGTCTACATAGTTCTCGAATCCGTAGGGTCCGCACGCTTAACGTTCTGTGACGATTTGTATTATGAGTTATGTGATTTGATGACCGAAGTTTGTTCAGAGTCCCGAATGAGATCGGGGACATGACAAGGAGTCTCAAAATGGTCGAGACGTAAAGATCGATATATTGGAAGGCTATGTTCGAACATCGGAAAGGTTCTGAGTGATTCGGGTATTTTTCGGAGTACCGGAGAGTTACGGGAATTCGTATTGTGCCTTAATGGGCCATACGGGAAAGGAGAGAAAGGCCTCAAGGGTGGTCGCGCCCCTTCCCCATGGACTGGTCCGTATTGGACTAGGGAAAGGGGGCGCCCCTTCCTTCCTTCTCCTTCTCCCTTCCCTTTTTCCTATTCCATGTGGGAGGTGGAATCCTACTAGGACCAGGGAGTCCTAGTAGGACTCCACACTTTGGGCGTGCCCTATGAGGGCTGGCCTCCTCCTTCCTCCATCCTTTATATACGTGGCCAGGGGACACCTCATAGACACACAAGTTGATCAGTTGATCTTTTAGCCGTGTGCGGTGCCCCCCTCCACCATAATCCACCTCGGTCATATCGTAGCGGTGCTTACGCAAAGTCCTGCGTCGGTAGAATCATCATCATCGTTATCACGCCGTCGTGCTGATGGAACTCTCCCTCGAAGCTCTGCTGGATCGGAGTTAGTGGGACGTCACCGAGCTGAACGTGTGCTGAACTCGGAGGTGCCGTACGTTCGGTACTTGGATCGGTCGGATCGTGAAGACGTACGACTACATCAACCGCGTTCTCATAACGCTTCCGCTTACGGTCTACGAGGGTACGTGGACGACACTCTCCCCTCTCGTTGCTATGCATCACCATGATCTTGCGTGTGCGTAGAATTTTTTTTAAAATTACTACGTTCCCCAACACTTATCCCCGAACAGGACTAAGCTAAGTCTCTTGGATGATGTTTTTGATCCTGGTTGCATCGGCCTTTGCCCAAAGGCGCAACTCCTCTTTGATGATGTTGGAGAGACGGGAAATCGAAGGTCGACCGCCGTTGAAGATGCATGTGTTCCGATGCTTTCAAAGCCACCAAGCGGTGAGGATGATGAGGAAAGTCAATCCCTTGCAAGTAGGAGCGAGTGCTTGGGAGCAGGATGTAGCCCACCATGTTTGAAAAGCCGTGCCACTATGTGGTAGGTCGGTAGGTGATCGAGCCCAACCGAGAATATCATGCTAAACCTGTCAAGAGAAAGAGCGGCTTGCTAGGAAATGTTGCATGGTATTTCCTCTTCTTGGTCGCAGAAGGCACAAATGGACTCGTGAGGCAGGCCATGACGGGCAAGATGATCGACCGTGCAACAGTTGTCATAACTTGATGCAAAGTGGTGCCCACGATCTCCAGGTCAATTTTCAATGAGGGTTTTCACAAGCATCAAGGAAGAGTGACTGATAGCAATAACTAGTTAGGTAGGATGCCGTGGAGGTCCAGCGTCAGTGCAGGGTGTCCGAAAGCTCCGTGTGGCACACACGGCACAGAGGTCTATCTATTGCACCATGGCGGTGGGGCCTAGCGCCTTGAATATCTTGCACCCACGACCGAAGGTGGATGCCGTCCTGCACGGTACAAGTCTTGCACCGGCGACGATGAACAAGTGTGAAGACGAGAGGGGCTAGCTCGGCCACTGACTTCCTCTCGATCCAGTGGTCGGTCCAGAATTTGCGTAGTAAAATAAAATTAAAATGAACTGTAAGAAACAGTTTTGGTCCACCCTTACCAACAGGGCGCCTCTGTTCTCCAGCTTCACTGAACACGGACGAGTCCCACATGTCACTCCAACCTTCGTCCCGCCCTGCTCCAGAACCCGTCCACGTTCATCCAAACCAAACGCTGAGCCTGAAAACATCCTCATCACGCCTCTCACCTCAGTCACACACACTGGCAGTCTCGCAGAACACCACAGCCCAAACCTCGCGAGCCAAACCCTGCACTGCAGATGGCGCCCGTGGCGAGCAGCAGCTTCTTCCGGGAAGCGCGGCTCCCGGAGCAGCGGGCCGTCGAGGGCGTCGCCTTCCCCGCGGTGCTCGTCCCGAGCGGCGGGCCCCCGGGGCCGGGAGAGGGGAGCCTCGACGAGTTCCTGGCCGCCGTGCGGTCGGAGCGGGCGTCCCGGGTGGAGCCGCTGCTGCGGGAGGCAGGGGCGGTGCTGCTGCGCGGGTTCCCCGCGCGGACCGCGGCGGACTTCGACGCCGCCGTGGAGGCGTTCGGGTACGAGGAGCTGCCCTACGTAGGCGGCGCGGCCCCCCGGACCAACGTGGTGGGGCGGGTGTTCACCGCCAACGAGTCGCCGCCCGACCAGAAGATCCCCTTCCACCACGAGATGGCGCAGGTCAGCCGGCCTCCTGCGTCAGCCCAACTCCATATAAACACCATAGCAAATTGAAAATTTCGAAACTACTATAATGGTTAAGCTTCATAGTATAATATTGCACTAGCTCTGAGCTGATGGCAAGCCACTCGACATATCTTATCTGTGTTGAATTGCATTTGATGAATATTCAGAACTAATTACGTATGTACCAATATAAAGAAACCCTGAATTGCAAGATACTGGCACTAGAATTTTGTTTTGTTGTCATGTTAAGGATCAAATGTTAGTGTTACCACACAAGCTTGAATTATGTAAAACAAATCTCATCTGGAATCTTGATTCTCATCATTCCTTAGGTTCCAACTTTTCCGGCGAAACTCTTCTTCTTCTGTGAGGTGGAACCAAAAAGTGGTGGAGAGACACCAATAGTCCTCAGCCACTATGTGTATAAGAGGATGAAGGAAAACTTCCCTGAATTTGTGGAGAAATTGGAGAAGCATGGCCTGATATACACAAGGGTATTGGGAGAGGGTGACGACCCATCTTCTCCAATCGGCCGTGGATGGCAATCCACATTTCTCACTGAAGATAAATCCGTCGCCGAGGAAAGGTCTGGCTTCTTGTTCCTTTATACTCCCTCCGTTCCAAATTAGATGACTTTCATTTGTCTAGAGATGGATGTATTTAGACACTAAACAAGTATAGATACATCCATATGTAGACAAGTGGGGGTCAAGTATTTTGGAACGGAGGGAGTAAAACAGAGCTACTCCCTGTGATCCATCTTAATTGTCGCAGACTTAGTACAAAGTTCAGAAATCCACTGTAATATATTCAGAAATCCACAACTTTGTACAGTTCTGAACATTTACATTTGCATTCAGTAATATATTAGTTCTGTTATCAGTTCTGGACATTTACATTTGCGGTCAGAAATCCACTGTAACATCATTGTACTCCGTATTTCACTAGATATGCATCAGTGCATGAGCGGTTTGAGTGTGTATCTAGAGCTCAAGATTGAGCTGTCATTTGTCTTGGTTGCAAAGTTCAGGATGAGTCAATGTTGATTGTTGATTAGAAGTGTGTTACAAGGTGTATCTAGAGTTCAAGATTGCAATCATGTATTTCTGTCTTAGTTACATCTATAGCGCAGTACAAGCTTATAACATTTTTCTGGTACTCAAACGGCCTTCAATTATTTAACCCATTTTAGTTTATTTAAAGGCATTTGTCATATTATTTAATACTATAATTTTTCTTTTATCTTGTCATGAGTGCAGGACATCACAAAACACATGTCCCTTTTCGGTCATAAAAAATGCCGATTTTTTAGTAATAAGATTTTGAAATAGAGTTCCATATCTATTTTTCGCAATGCTGATAACTGAACTTTCACCCTCCTGTCGTCCACAGGGCTGTGAAGCTTGGGATGAAGCTGGAATGGACCGACGACGGGGTCAAAACAGTGATGGGTCCGATACCAGCAGTCAAGTGGGACGAGAGCCGAGGGAGGAAGATATGGTTCAACAGCATGGTCGCTGCCTACACGGGGTGGAAGGATGCCCGTAACGATCCAGTTAAGGCCGTCACCTTCGGCGACGGCTCGCTCTTGCCTGCCGATGTCATAGAGGCATGTGGCAAGATCCTGGAAGAGGAATGTGTCGCGGTCCCGTGGCAGCAAGGTGACATCCTTCTCATCGACAACTGGGCCGTGCTGCACTCTCGGCGGTCATTTGAGCCCCCGCGGCGTGTGCTTGCTTCGCTCTGTAAATAGCATGTAAATGTATATCATGAGGGACAAAGCCTTGCTTAAGATTGATCCACACTTCTGTGTGGTGTATGTACCATGTACGTGATCTGATTTGCACATACGAACCTGGAATAATTTTGTGCAGCATGACAGGGAGAATCATTGTGTTGTTCTTGCTTGTTTGCAACCTGTAACATATGAAGTCTTGAACCTTGCAATCAACTAATCTGCAGTTTTACATGTATCACTTCAACAGCAACATGTGGCACTTTTGATAAATGAAGATTTTACAACATGTATTTAGTACCCGCACGTTCCAGCTCTCCCCAGCAGCTCTTTTGAATTATTTTTTTAGATTAGATCACACTAAATCAGATCAGAGACTTCAGAGGCGGCTGCGAATCACGCCATGGCAATGGCGGCGGCGGCAGGAAGAGGCTTCTAGCCTGAGAATTTGGTACTCCCCTTCGATCCATGTTAATTTTCGCTGATTTATATGTTCTGCAGCGGTGAATCAAGAAGCTAACAGAGCTCCATTTCCTGGTTTGTTGTTGCATGTACAAATCAGCAATGCATAGACTCATATATTTGGTTTCTTCTTGCATGTGCAACAGGTTACTCAATGTTTTCGAAAAGGAGGATGCATTTGGACTTCTCTTGCATGCAGAACAGCAATCTCACAACTCATGCATTTGCCCTATTTGTTCTCAGATAGTTTGAATTGCTTACCACATCTG